GTGAGATTTGAACCGCCGAACTGCAGCTTAGCAGTCAGCTGAAGTGGCTGCAGTACTGCACTCTAACCACTGCGCCACCTCGACTCTTTTTCAGGTCTCTGCTGGGAGACACGCACAGACGCATGCGTGGGCAGTTGTGTGCGCATGCATGGGGTTGGGGGGATGTGGCGCCGCCCCCATGCCATTTTTTCTTCCAGGCGGTTTCAAGGACTGCTAGCATCAAAACGGGGGGTCGCGAGTGCATACACCGGGGGAGGGGCACGCATGCACAGGGGTGGGGCCTGTGGGGGTCATTGCATTATGGGTGTTGGCACATGCTATTGCAAGCACCCGCACTTTCAGCACCCGAGGGGAAAAAAGTTCACCATCACTGTCCTAGTAAGTTGGTGTGAGAGAGTGACTGGCCCAAGGTCAACCAGCTGGCTTTCATGGCTAAAGTGGGACTGGAACTCAATCTCTGGTTTTCTAGCCTGATGCCTTAACTACTAGACCAAACTGACTCTGCGCACGTACGTACGTACGTACGTACGTACGTACACACACACACACACACACAATGTATCAATTGAGAATTGAATTTACTACATCTGATAAAGTGGACTTTACTAGATAAAAGGTTGTGTCAAAAAATTGGTGCTATAAAGAAATGGCTTCAAGGTATGCCTTCTGGCATATTTTCCTGCATGTTGTTGTGGAGGAGGTAAACCTTTACAAGAACGTTTAACTATATAAATCATTTGCAGTTGCACTGAACACATGCAGGCTAGTATTCACCACTCTGAACTGGGATTAACTTGCAAATATATAAATGTAGGGAAGTATGTTGTGGATATGGCAGATATTAAATTCCATTATTTATCAGAAACATTTTTAAAAGGGTAATAGTAAGAAAAATATAACTAGAGTGAAAGAGTTGTATATGTAAGGGAGTGTGAAAGATAAGTGGTAGAGTAATATTCCGAATATGGAATAACATTTTGAATATGGGAGTTTTCAAGGCACGTATATTAGGACAGCACTTTGGATCTGATTCAGAAGACATATTTCAGGAGAGATGGTTCATAACAATACTTTCGGAAGACTCTTTTTATTGGAGATTTCCATTTATTTCTTCCTTTAGAGGATAAAAAATATACTCTACTCATGCACAAGAAATTTCAGAGTACACTAAGAGCATTTTTCATTCACTATTATTTAAATTGTTCAGCTGAACTTGCCATCTCAATCCCTAAGCTGGAGTTCCAAGCCATTTATGTAAAACATCTAATCCCTGCAATTTTCCCTCTCATTTGATCATTCCAATTCCATTCTGGTGATTGCCAAATGTGTTGAAGTACTATTTCCACGACTCCAACTAGACAATAGCTATAATAGTTGAAGATGATAATCATTGAAGTTGAAGCCCAACACCACTGGAGCAGTGACGGCAAACCTTTTTCTCCTTGCATGCCAAAATTGTGCGTGCGGTGGTAGTGCATGCGTGCCCAAACCCATAATGCAATGCGCCCCACCCCCCACACATGTATGTGATCCCCCTGTGATCCCCCAGCGCATAGGTGTGACACACAGGGCCTATCAGGCCTCCCTAAAGCCTCCTGGGACCAAAAATGGGGTGCATGGGAGGGGCACTGAGCTCCTCCCCATGCATGCACACACATACACCCTGCGCATGTGTGTGTGTGTGACTCCCTGCCCCCCTGCACATGCACGCACGTCTCCCGCATGCCGGCAGACACCTGAAAATCATCTGGCTGGTGGGAGGCACAAGCATATGCATGGTGGAGCTAAGCTGGGTGGCAGCTCACATGCCCACAGAGGGCTCCACGTGCCATCTGTGGCATGTACGACATAGGTTTGCCATGACAGTTCTAGAGGATATAAATATGGCCTCATTCACAAGTTCCAATTAGCTGACATGGCTAGATAATATTCTAACTTTCTACCAATAGACAGATTATTCCTTCATAAATTCACAGAATCTTAAGTACTGGAAGGACCAATTGGACTTCTGAATGCATTTCCTGGGGTCTTCAACCTCCTTTTATATAACCCTACCTTCCTTCAAGGCGTGGCCTTCCATCATCAAATCGTGTCCTTTTCTTCCTTTGGTAAAAGTTACAATTGTTTTCATTTCATTCTTACCTCTTCCAATGTTTTTGCCTTCCATATCCTTGAGCATCACGGACTTTCCTTTGACTATAAGAACAGCGTCCCCTTCCCACTTCTTGTGCTTTTTCTTTGAGGCTTTGCACCACACAACACTGAAATATTTGGTAAGGCAACTGGGCTCCTCTGGGGCTCCTGCTTTTTCTGTTGCTGCTGGATCTGTAAAAATGAGGACACAAGGAAGGTCTCTGAATTGCAGGCTGCACCCAGGTATGCAAACTGAAAGACAGTTGAGCAGACTATGAAGCTGAATATTAGTTCAGGTTTTTACGTTTAGGCCTTCCTGCATGGATCAGGAGAGCAGGAGATCTGCTGAAAAAGGGGGAAACTTGTCTAAAGGAACTTATCTAAAAGCATCAGTAACAATAACTTCCAAGTACCGTATATACTCGAGTATAGGCCGACCCGAATATAAGCCGAGGCACCCAATTTTACCACAAAAAACTGGAAAAGTTATTGACTCGAGTATA